TATTTTTTTATGTAGGTGTTTTTCTTACTTAATATTATTTTTCTGTCCTAATTTGTGAAAAAGTATTAATGCCGCATTAATCCAGTAGGTGGCAGCAAAGACCTAAGAACTGTATCAACAGAGGGACAGTTTAATTGGATTGTAGATTAGGTTTAGATTTAAAAAGAGGAAAACACAATGATAACAAAATAGATATTCAGCATTCAGACTGATGCTACCAAAGTAATAAGTGAAGAAAAACTTTATGGTTAAAAGCACATCATGGATAAACATTTATCTTTACAAGCAGTCTGGGTTTTCATTTAAAAAAGAGACCTCATAACAAACAGTAAAAAACAGTGCAACAGTGTGCTAAAAAGGAAATAATTAAGGCAAATAAACATATAAATATAAATGGAATATCAAAAACTTTCTGAAATTGTTGCAAGAGTTTTTATAGTAGTAATAAAATCAGCCAAAGAAATCCAATAGTTTCAGTTCCTGTTGAAGGGGATTCCGGGTTAAAAGGTGGAAAGTAGGAGGAGGCTGTTTTCCCCTAACTGAACTGGCTGAGAAAACACTGAGATCCTGGGATCATAGACCATAACTGGTGTGTTAAGGTGATATAAGAGTACAAATACAGAGACTATAAAATTTTGGGGATAAAAAAAAAAAGTGCATTTGAATGAGATGGCAACATTCACAGCCTTGAACCAAACTGACATCCTTTGTATTCATACTTAAAAGTGTTTGTTACAGGAAGCCGTCTCATGTTTAGCACATTAAAAAATCCGGCCTTTGATTTGATAAAACAATCTGATGCTCTTTTTAATTGACCAGGGGCAAAAATTGTACAACCTGAGATTATTCTAATAAGATAATAAATATTTAATTGCACCCCTCATGACTCCACTTGGGATAAGCGCGACTAAAAACGCATGGATGGATGTTTAATTGCATATATTTTGCTAACTAAAGTTTCTTTAGTTATTTATATTTGTAATTAACGCATGGATTAAAATATAGAAATGATAAAAAATCTTAGAAAGGTCAGGCTTCTGAAGTAAATATGAATTTACTATAAATCTTTTTAACACCTTTACTAGATGTTAGAATAACTACAAAGGGCTATTTCAGGCTAGTGTATAAAATAAGTGCTCTTCAGTTACAGAATAAAAGTCCAATTTCACTGGCTGTTACAATATGGGTTGGTGAGTATCCTGCAATTCACAGCCATCTATGGGCAGGTGGCCAGTCCACCAGAGGAAACTCAAATATCCAGAGAAAACACAGATTTTCACAGGTTAACATTCAAAACAAAGAATGGCAGCAAATGGGATTTAAATCTCCTTTTGCTAATCCAGTCGACGTCATTCATTTAGCACTATATAGATACTCCACATCAAGAAAAGAAATGATAGAACAAAAAAAACAAAAAAAACACGGAAGACATAAAAAATGTAATATCAGTGCAAAAGAAAAGGAGTTTGTTAGTTAAGGACTTGCATTGGGGAACAAACAGCTGCGATTACTGACAGAAATTTAAGATGGAAAATTAATATTGTTGGGATAATTATCATTGAAGATGTGTGAGTTTATCACACCCTGGTATGAGCTGCATGTTGCGCATCAGAACTGACGTTTTAATCTAATTAGGACAGTTCTTCTGTCTGGATATACAGTTATAATCTTCATTCTGTACGTGGCAACGATTTAGAGATGGAATGAGAGCGGTGTCCTATTTTGATAAGGCTGGAGCCACGGATGTCTAATCATCTGCTAACATGTATGATGTAAAATAGGATGATGTGGCAGACTGGGGATGTATGAAATGCCTTCCACTTCCTGTATATTCTAAGCAATTTCTCTGATCTGAGTAAGATTACAATTTCTATCAAAATCTGTCGTCATGTCTCCTGGTTATTTAATACATATAACTTATGAAATGTTATTTAAAGAGTTTTTTCCGAGTGATCTCTTTTCAGGGAAAAGAAACAGAGAGATAGAGCTTTGAGGTCCATAAACAGAGCCTATCTTTAACAATATTCTAAACAAAACAAAGGCAAATGAAGGTGTAGTATCACTTGACATGTATAATATATCTTATAGTCTTATCTATATTGCTGTATCTGTATTTTATACAAGATAATAATAAATAATCTTTGTTTTTCAAATAGTTGCTATTCGTCGTTCTACCAGAAGATGGCAGCTATGCACAAGAGTGTCGTTGGTCAACCTCTACAAACACCAGAAGAAGAAAAAAATATTTTATTTATTTATTTTTTTATCATTATGTAGTTTTTTGTGCTTATATTTAGGTTTATTTGATAGTTTTATTGCACCGTTGATAAAAAATGTTATGTTGAGACTAAATATTGAGTCAGATTGGGTCTCTGGTTTTAGCCTCGTGGTTTTTGCTAACGGCTGTCTGCTGTATTTGTTTCTACTTTTATGTGCAGAACTACAAACATGAAGCTTGGTTGTTTTTGCGCAAGGTTTGTTGAACTTTGATACACTTCAGGAGAAGTCCTAAGGCAGGCGACATTTAGGCTGCAAGGTGACTCATTTAAGATAAATTTAAGGGTTTAGTGGAAACGTAAAAACCTGAAGATGACCTCAAAGAAAGTGGTGGAGCTCTTCTACGATGTGGTCTCCCCTTACTCCTGGCTCGGGTTTGAGGTTTGTCACTTTATTCTTACCCTTCTTAAGGACCTTACTCATGTTTGGAGGGTTTTAAAATCGTCTGTGCTTCTAGGTTATGTGTCGCTACAGAAATGTGTGGAACATCGAGCTGAAGCTGCGACCTGCGTTTCTGGGAGGCGTCATGCAGGGAGCAGGTCGGTGGACAGGGTGGGGGTATGTTTGCATCATTGTGGAAATGGACTGAGAAATAATCCGTTTCTTTTATGATAGGAAACAAGCCCCCTGGTTTAGTCCCCAACAAATTTGCCTACATGACGAAGGATATGAACCGCCTGGCCAAATACTTTGAGGTGCCTATAAACCCCCCCTCTGACCCCTTTGAGGTCATGTTCGAAAAAGGTAAACACTATGAGCATTAAAAAAACAAACAAACAAAATGGTTGTGATTTTTTTTTTTATTAAAATCCAATTTACTTTTTTTTTTTTGTTCAATCAATCAAAAAACATCAGTGGTGTTAAAAGTACACACATTTGTTACTTACCGGTAAATAGAAATATAGATACTGCAGTTTAAAAACACTCTGGTAAAAGTTGAAGTATCAACTTAACCTCTTTACTCAAGTAAAAGTAAAAAAAAAAGTATGTGCTCCAAAAACTACTTAAAGTATAAAAGTATAAAGTAATCTTAAAAAACAAAAAACAAAAAAAAAACATCCAGATGCAACTATATGAATTGAAAGCTATTTTTTTTTTTTATTATTCCTAAAAACCTCTTTGAGATAGTGCCATATGGAGGACAAACTCTGCCATATTGAAAAATAAATACAGAAATAAATAAATGCTCAATTAATAAATAAGCATACAATTAATTGCACCGAAAAATACAATAAACTAATAAATGTAGGTAGAAATTGAAATATATAGTGAGACATAAATGTATGAATCTCTTTTAATTAGCTTCTTTATTTATTCTTCTTTGTAATAATTACCTTATTTATTTATTGTCCCTTATAATCTTCAACTTTATTTGTTACTTATTGACAGTTCTTCAGTATTTTAGTTTTATAGTAATGTGTTAGTAAAGTATATAGAAGGTGATATTTGTACTTTAAAGGTTGCTAACGTTACGTATAAAAAGCTGAACCATACTTTTATAACTAAAGTTTCATTATAGGGTGGCACAGTCAGGAAAACATATAGTGGGATTAAAGCAGCAGCTATTGATTATTTTGCAAATGATTAATCCATTGATTATTTTTGTGATTAATAATCGGATAGTTAAAGGTTCCTTAAAGAAGATTTTTTGTGTGAAATGAAACCAGGTGAAACTAAAGCTTTGCCACTTGAGGAGCTCTGGATTTGAACATGTTGACAGATTAAAAAGATTTTTGTCTTAAATGTAAAATGTTTACATGTTTTTTTGTTGTTACAATTTTGGTATAATTGCTGCTCAAGGTGGGTTATTATGTCAGCTAAAGGCACATTTTACAGTCTCTATAATAAAATAAATGATTAATCAAGTACTAAATTAGAATTCATTATGATTCAATTCATTGTTTCGGCCCTAATTGGGATACTACTGCAGTGTTTATCATCTTCATCATGTTCTAGCTACTCTTGAACTTATCTGCCAAAACTATAAACATCTAATGTGGATATCAAAGCAGGAAGAGTACATCCAATAAACTTGAATTATTATATTCCATCAGTTTGAGGCTTGCTCTGAGGTTGCAATGCCGTTTGATATATTATGCAACT